TGGTGGTGAGCTGCCTTCTTGAACCACTGCAGTCCATTTGCTGTACTTAGACCACAATGGTGTTATGGAGGGATCTGCAGGTATTTAAATCAGTGACCCTGAAGGTACAGCAATATATGGGGGAGGCAATGGCCTAGCAGTGTTACGTCTAGACTATTAAACCACAAACCCAAGTAATGTTCCTGGAAAGCAGCATCATAGGAGCAGGAAGGCTGACGTTTCGAGCCTAGACTCTTCACCAGATTTTCCAGCATCTGCAGTTCCTACTATCTCTAATGTTCCGGGAACCTGGCTTTTGATTTATGATGAATGATAGATTTTACTGGTGCTATTAAAGTCACTGCCAGATTGTCCAGCCTTCCAACTCCAACTTCAGGATGCTAATGGCTTGCTTGATTACATGTCACATCATCTAGAGTTTGCTATATTTCTCCTTGTCTTCATTCATTTGTTTAAAGTGGACAGCCCTTGAACACCATGCCAGTAAGTCAGTTTCACAGTACAAATTGATTGAGGGTCACTTTGGATAAGAGACTTATAAAGAAACATGACCTTTTCGGAGAATAGAAACATGGCTTCCCCTTCGAAAGAAAATAGGAAAAGAAAACACAATGTTGCTTTAGTAATCTCCAAAGTGCTCAAGGTACTCTTCAAAGTTGCAAAAGTATCCTCTCATAAAAACAACTATGAACAAAATCTTTCACAAAAGCAGACAAGAAAGCAATCATGACTTAGTGGCATGTATCACTTATGTCATTTGGTCTCTCAATTATGGTTGTGTTCACAACTTGCTTTGGTTGTAAGTTTTAGGAAACCCATGGACCCAGTTATAAAGAGTAAAAATATCAATATCACTGTGATTTAACCAATTAGTATATTGTAATTATTGCAAACAGCCTAATTTGTTAAAGCTAAACACAGAAGTTGATGGATTGAATCTGAACTCCGACAGCGCTGCCAGTTTCCATTGTTTTATGCGGACGCAATGGTATGAATAGAATCACTGGATGAATAGATCAAAGGCCCAGGCTAATGCTCTGTGGATGTGGGTTGGAATGCCACCACAGCAGCAATTGAAATTTGAATTCAATTTATATCTGTCTAATAGTTATCACAAAACCCATTGCTGATTGTAGCAAAAACCCACACAAATCTATAATGTGCTTTAAGGAAATCTGTCTCCAGACCCATAACAATGTGGTTAACTTTTAAATGCCGTCTGAAATGCTTGATCAAGGCACTCAGTTGCTGTGAAGTCTACAGAAAAGAATGAAATCAGATGGACTACCTGGGTACCAGAAATAACAACGGCAAACCCACTCTGACGTCTCTTCAAGTCTCAGAAATAACCTGCTTATGATACTCAGTGTTGTTGTTGCCAGGACCACTCAGCTTCTGACCTCATTATAGCCTTGGTCCAGTGGCTTAAATATTTATCCAAGTATGGAATTGAAGAGTCTAAACAAAACTGGAATTGATGGTAATCAGGGAGAAAGCTGGCTGCTGTTTGGAGTCAAACCTGGAACAAAGGGCTGTGGATGTTTGTGGTTGTACCTTAGTACATGGACATCACTGCAGGATTTCCTCAGTGCAGAGTCTGAGCACCAACCATTTTCAGTTGCATCAGCAATGACCTTCTCTTCATCATATGGTAAAATGTTCAGCACAATTTGCACCTCCTCAGATACTGAAGCAGCCAATGTTCACACGTAGCAAGACCTGGACAACATCAAGGCATAGGCTAATAAGTGGCAAGGAATATCCATGGGCTATAGAAGTGCCAGACAATGACCATCTCAAATAAGAGAAGAAAATCTCCCCATGACATTCAATGGCATCACCGTCTCTGGATGCTCCACTAACAATGTCCCGGGCATTACCATTGACCAGGTCAATGGTACTGAACTTGAACAGCCATATAAATACAGTGACTACATGAGCAGGTCAAAGGCTGGGAATTCTACAGCAACTAACACACCACCTGTTCTCAATGCCTGTCCACCATCTACAAGGACCAACTCAAGGGCACTTATTTTAGAACCATTCATGGGATATGGGCATCACTGACTAGGCCAATATCAATCACTCATCCCTAATTGAGAGGTGCAGTGGTGGTGCATTCATAGAACTGAAACAGGGAATCCCTGACATTTGACCCAGCAGCAATGAAGGACGGCAATATCGTTCCAAGTCAGGGTGGTGTGCAGCTTGCGTGGGAACTGGTAGATGATAGTGTTCCCTTGTATCTGCTGCCCTTGTCCTTGCAGATGGTAATGAATGCACGCTTGAGTCTTACGACTCTGAAGGGAGGAGTACGCCAGTAATCAAGACATACTACTCCACGAGCTGTATGTTTTATTGGATCACCAAAATAGTCAATTTGTACTTCTTTTGTACTACGCTCCAGAGTAAAATGTATTTCCATGATGCTTCTTTAGTGAACTCAAAAGTAACTCATTTATTATAAGCAAGACTCATTCTTTAAACAAGTGGCAAAAGTGATTAATAAGCAAGCTACTATTCAGAATTAAACTAAACCCTTTAATACAAAATGTACATACGTATACATAGACAACACATGGGTTTGAAAACAAAGTCTAAGAAGGGAACAAGAAATCATGGGTATGAATTTAGAGGACTGAATGGGTTGATTTCTCACAGTTCCCTTCCTCTTCCTGTTGACAAAATCCCATTGCTGAAAGTTGTAGAATGATGGAAAGTCTTAGACCAGATTTCAGATTTAGATAGGAAACAGATCGGAAATTTATTTGGTTTCACAAATACTTCACTGAAAGAGAGTTTTTTTCTTGACTTAGGCTATTGCTAGGCAATGAGCAACCAAGTTCCTAGAGTTTTTCCAAGTCTGTTTGAACAACAATGAAGGGCTATAAATTTTTATCACTTATCACTCTCAAAAGTGCCACTGTAGTCTTCTCCCAACATTTGTTGCTTCACCAGTAAACAGCAGATAATACAGATAATAATAATATTCCAGTTTCTCATAGTGCATAAGTATATACATATCCTTAATATTCTCACTTTACAGGCAAGTTTTCCTTGCCTGATGAAAATAGTGAACAAGATGCATTTTTACAACAATTCTTTCATGGTCAACATTAGGCCATCTTATAATTCCAGATTTTATTAATTGCATTCAATGGGATTCAAACCCACATTCCTGGAGCATTAGCCTGAGTCTCTGGGTTACTAGCCCAGTGATGTTACCACTCCATCACTGCATCACAGTGTGATAGAATACTTTCCACTTGCTTGGATGGGTTCAGCCCCAACTCATGTAGTTTGACACCACTCAAGACAAAGTAGCCCATTGATTGGCACTCCATCCACCACCTTCAGCATTCACTCCCTTTGCCACTGACACACAGTGGCAACAATGCATACCGTCTACAAGATGCACTGCAACAATTCACCAAAACTTCTTTGAAAGCACCTTTCAAGCTATTGACATTTACAATGTAGAAGAAAGGCAGCAAATACATGGGAACACAACCAACCCAAGTTCCCTTTTGAGCCACTGAGCATCCTGACTCAAAAATAAATCATTTTTTGTTTGTTTATGAGATGTGGGTATCACCTGCCAGACTATTTCGGGGGCAGTTAAGAGTTAGCCACACAGCTGATGTATGCAGGCTAGATCAGCTAAGGACAGTAGATTTACCTGAAAGAATCATTTGGGTTTTTATGACAATTGACAATAGTTACATGCTCATTGTTAGGCTAGCCTTTTATTCCAGATATTTAATGAATCCAAATTTCACCATCTGCCATGGTGGTATTCAAACCTATGTCCCCAGGACATTAGCCTGGGATTCTGGATTATTAGTCCAGTGATATTACCACTATGCCACTTTTTCCCTAGTTATTTCAATGTTACTGTGCCAAAATCCTGGAGTTCCCTTCAAAACTGCACTGTGGTTGTTCAAAGAATGCAGTAGTTCAAGAAGACAGCTGACCACTATCTTCTCCAGGTCAGTTATGGATGAGCATTCCATGATGGCCAATCATTCCCTGCCAGCCATGTCTACACTCCATAAATATATAAAAACAACCTCCTACACATTCTTAAATCCGGGCATTAAAATCCATCCAATCCACCAGTAAAACTTTTTTTTTGTAGGGACACGTATCAATTTCGTACAAAACTATCCAGCAATACATCAGTTTGGATTCTATTAATAGTTCACACATATTGATTCATAATAATGTTTTGTGTTGTACAAACGCAATTGTGTATCCAACAACGTTGTGCCAAACACAATGCCTGCTAGATATGATACGGAAATATAATAATGGCAGAAATAACGCATCATTAAAAAATCCAAACTGGGAATAGTTGAATAGTTGCCAAAATGTCCGAACAAGAACCATAGGAATATGACAATGATGTAACAACATTCTGGCTATTGAAAAGATTTACTTATCCAAAATGACACATGGAAAAGGGTAAAGGTAAAAATGCGTTTGTCAAAGGATTTAAAAAACACCTCTTCATTCATGAATAATAGTTTGATATCTTGCTTGTCAGGATGTGGGAAACAAATGATCACATCGGTGTTTTACTGGAATTCTTCAGTCCGATTGGCCAGTCTGAATCTGTATATTACTGCAGGGTGAACCGGCATTGTAAAACTGTATAATTACCTGTAGGTTGTTCTGCTGGGTGGGGGGCGATAATTAGTATAAATATATATATACTGGGGCTGCAGTCTTCATCATCCTTTCGATCTGCAAACGGTTCAGCACTGACTCCAAAATGGGTAAGTCACTTTTGATTAGAAAAGTAGCAGGTTGTAATGTAAATAGATGAGGAACATTCGATGCGTTCGTGGTCAGCAGCATAATTTACCTGAAAGAATAAATTGCAAAGTGCATAAATCTTTCTCCTGGTCTTACAAATCTTCTCGTTTCTTTTACCGGACAGTCTCCTTCAGGTGCACCGTCTTTCTTCAGGTTATATTGATCTTAGCACAAAAGAAGACCGTTAATATGCAATTTCAATCTTGCAACCAAACATCACTGAAAGAGAATTTAAGTATCATTTTTACTGGCGAGGTAAGACAGTTCATGTCGGGTTACAACCATTTAAATAAGGAATGCGAAATTTATAATATTGCAAATAACTTAAGCTGACCGTATTGCAGAGAGGTGCTTCTAAATTCAGCATCGGGCGAAATGTATCATTCCTGTTAGCTCCCAATCCATCTGTGTTGCGGCACAGTTTCTCGTAGGAGTCTCTGCACAGATCTATGACTTCCATGTGGGGTACCAATAAAAAAGAATTGATAATAAGCCTTTTCTCTCCCTCTCTCTTTCTTTATGCAGTATAGAAGAATACCACCTCATGAGGTAAGAGTTAAAGATGTTAACATAAATCCTTGTATATATCAAGTTGTGAGATCTTGTTTTCTGCGAGGCAATAATTGGCAAGCTGTTTAAAACAGCATCGATTTATAAAGTGCCTTTAAATGTGATCAAAAACAAAGGCTTCAGGGAGCATCATAACGAAGGAGAGAGAACCGGGAGGTTTAGGCAACCAAGTTCAGAGTGTAGGGCCTGGATATTGAAGGTTGGGCTGTCGTTTGGAATGGCGGGTTTGATAGCAGTCGGGTTCATGAAACAGGACTAAAGGAACTCAGGAGCTTACTGAGATTGGGTGGGTGGACGCATAGAGGTATTGGAGCATATCGATCAGAATTTTATAATACAGTGTACGTGGACAAAAGCCAAACGTAAGTCCCAGCACAGTTGTACATAACTTGGCATAAATTAGGACATATGCAGCCGAGTTTTTGATACACTTGTTAGGATAGAGTTGGGAGAAGGTGCTGGTAAGGAGAATATTAGAAAAAACTGTCCGAAGGATGAAACTTTCAGCGACAGCTCAAAATAAGAACATACTGGAGTTTGAAAACTGAGAGAATACAGTCAGAAACTCTACTCAGTGCCAAGTTGCCAACAGACCAGTCTAACCTCATACTATTGCAAGAATGAAGGTTAAGAAGTGGGTTTCTGGTAAGGGTGAAACACAATGGCTTTAATTTCCTCAAATGTTTACTGTGCTTGGAAATTTTGCAAGCGTGTGATAAAATGATGTGTGTAATCGTGCATTGATCTGAATACAAATTAATCCTTGACATCTGTTTCGATACTAACTGTTGGCAAGTTCAAACGTACGAACAAACATGTAAGTTAGGAGATGGAGTAAACCACTTGGTTCGCCACTTCCCCGTTTAATAACGCTGATCTGATCATAACCTCAACTCCGTATTCCTACCTAACCCAATAGCCTCCCCCCCAACAACAAAAATCAATCTAACTCTGCCTTAAAAATATTCAAAGGCTCTGTTCCACTGACTTTTGAGAAAGAAATTTGTAAAGACTCACATCTCTGAAAGAAAACAAATTTCTCTCATTTCTGTCTTAAACTGGCAACTCTATATTTTTCGAGAGATTCTCCCACCAGAGGAACTGTCCTTTTCACTTCTACCCTGTCAACTGTAAGACATTTTATGTTTTGATCAAGTTACCTCTCACTCTTCTAAACTTCAGCAGGGACAAACCTAGCCATTAAACCTTTCCTCAACTCACTTATTCCAGATATTAGTCCAGTAAACTTCTCTGAACTGCCTCCATTGCATTTGCATCCATTTTTAAATAAGGAGACCAGAATTATACACTATCCTCCAGATGCAGTCTCACCAGTGACCTATATAACTGAAGCATCACCTCCCTTTTATCCAATGATCCTCTCAATAAATTGTAACATTCTATTACCATTCCTAATTGTTTGCTGTACCTGACTACTAGCCTTTTGTGATTCATGCACTGGATACCCAGATCTTTCTGCATCTCAGAGCTCTGCAGTCTCTCACCATTTAAACTAAGTGCTGTGTTCCTATTCTCCCTGCCAAAATAACCACTTGCATAATTACACACATTAAACTTCACTTACCAGATCTTTACCCATTCATTACATCTATGTTCCATTACAGCCTCCTTATGACCTCTTCACAACTTAATTTTCTATTTTTTCTTCCATTTGCAAATTTAGCAACTATACCTTCAGTGCTTTCATCCAAGTAATTTATAAAAACTGTAAAATGTTGCAGTTTCAGTACTGATCTTTATGGCACACCATTTATTATATCTTGCCAACCAGAAAATAGACCCTCATTCAGAAGAAAGGTAATTGGACTCAAAGCTGTTAACTCCAGTTCTCTCTCCACATCTGCTGTCAGACCTGCTGAGTTTCTCCAGCATTTTCTGTTTCTATTCCAGCCTCTACCCTCCGCAGTATTTTGCTTCCATCTTTGCATACTCTGTCTCCTGTTAGCCAGTCAATCTTCAGTTCTTGGGAAGTACGAGCCTTTTTTTTCTACAACAAGCTTTGATGTGGCACTTTATCAAATGCCTTCTAGAAATCGAGGTAGGGTACATACACCTTATATCCACACTGCATGTTACTTCATTAAAGAACTCTGATAACTTGATTAGGTACGAATCCCTTTCACATATTCATATTGACTCTACCTTGAACTTTTCAAAGTGCCTGGTATAATGTCATTAATAATAATTTCTAGCATCTTCCTTTCAATAGATGATGTGCTAACTGGCTAGTTGTTTCCCGATTTCTGTGCCCCTTCTTTTTTGAATATTGTGAGTTTTGTTCACTATCTTTCCCTGTTACTTTCCCTGAATTTAAAGGATTTTAGAAATTTAGAACCAATGCATCAACTTTCTCACTAGCCACTTTTAAGACCCTATGATGAAATCCATCAGGACCTGTCACTTTTCAGTCTACAGTGCCAATGTTTTACACAGTACCACTTTCCTGGTGATTGCAATTTTCTTTAGATCTTCCCTCCCTTCCAGTTCCTGATATATAACTATGGGATGTCACATGTATCTTCTATGGTGGAACGCAAGGCAAAATACTTCTTCAGTTCATCTGCAGTTTCCTTATTTTCAATTATTAACTTCTATAGGACCAAAGTTCATTTTTTATCTTTTTGTCTTTATAAATATCAAAATAAAAACTCTTAATCTCTTTTTTATGATTTATACATAGCTTTCATTTGTACCTTAATTTTTCCCACCTTATTAATATTTTAGCTTTTTTTTATATTCAGTCCAATCTTCTGACCTATCATCCATCTTTGCACAATTATAGGCTTTTTCTTTAAGTTTGATGCTATCTTTTACTATTTTAGTGAGCCCTGAATGATGGATCCATCCCCTTGAAATAACTATGACTCCCTGATTCCAACCAATACAATACAATAAACCAATAACAACAATAAACCAATACAACCAACCAATAAACATGGGTGTGAATTCAATTACATGAAATTTTATTAACTTTATAACCTATTATTTGTGCCTGCAACCCATCCACCATTATCTGTCAGTTTACTTGATTTTACAAATTACCATTATTTTTTTCAATTTGTACAGTGGTATTAATAAGTTTGGTCAAGTGAAATGACTGACTCTGTACTCTAATTAATATCGTGTTTAGAAGCCACTTGAGTGCATTGTATGTATCAGATGCAGACTGAATGAAACAGAAAAGTGCAACACAACATCATTTGTTCACAAAATAAATAAGGCAGTCCAGGGAGCATGTGGTGCCGACATTTGTAAGGTAATTTTTATCTGTTGTTTAGTTTTCTCAATTTTAACACAGTCATCTATAAATGTTAAGTAACCAAGTCCATCATAATGTACTGTTCAATACTGCTGGAAGAAGAAACATTTTGTTGAAGCATTTCCCCTTGCAGTCATCAGGACAGTTGACAAGTGTATCAATGTAAAGGAAAAATCTTTAAATACTTTAAGGCAGAGGTAGATAGACTGTTGATTATCAAGGGGATGAAAAATTATCGGGGATATGCAGGATTGTAACATTGAAGTTAAAATCAGATCAGCCATGATCCTATTGAAAGGCAGAGCAGGCTCAAAGGGCCGAGTGTCTTACTTTTGCTTCTTGTTCATATGTTCATAACCTTGCTGATTAAAAATTTAAACAAAGCTTAGTAATTAACTATTTGTCATTATTTAATTGGTGTATTCTCATGGCAATGCGTCAACCAATCAATCACCACTTTCCTATCATACTGTGTAAATGTTGTTTTCCTTTTACATTGGTGTTCTTGTGAATTGTCCCGATGAGTACAAGATGAAAATTTTTTCTTTAAAGTCTTATTTCAGCACAATTAAGTTCTCTACAGCCAAATAACTATTTGTACTGTTCAATCTTCAGCATTCTGAGACTTGTTTCTTTGCATGTTTTGATTCTGCTTGCATCAATTTTGACATTCCATCCTTAAAACAAAGACTCCCCTATCAATTTTGATACCTGATGTTTAATACAATAATTCTCAGTCCCATCCATTGACAATTTGTAGGAATTGTTGATGACTTCCATTTGTTATTGTACATTACAATTTATAGAAATGGAAGACTCCCTTTGGTAAACTGAACGTTCTAGACATTGTTTATTATTAATTATAGCAAATTATGTTTATAGCTAAGTTCACAAATCTGTGGCATGTTTTTTTCTCAATTGTTCTGATAAAACTATTTTTGGTTTTTAAGAATGCAGGGAGCACATGCAACGAAATTAAAATGCGCATCCCAAAGTTGGAAAAAATGTGCAAAAGGCTGAAAAAGATCAAAAATATTCTGCACAGTAATTGGTTACAGCTGGGAATTGCATCTACAGCACGTGGTGTTAGTATGGTGCAAGAATTCAAAGAAATGATGATCTGAGACTAATGTCATTACATCATGCCATTTACTCATATTTTTGAGCTTCTCAGTAGTAATGTGACTGTCAGTCATGTTCTGTTTATCCCATTGCATATTACTTTTGTATGTTTTGTGCTGAGTATGAATCAAACTCTAATGAAATATGGCTAACTATTGCTCTCTGCTCTGGACTTAGACTTATACCTACAAGTATCATCCTAATGTCAATTTCACCACCTAGCATAGTTTCAATCTGGAGTTATCCTTCAAGGCTTAACCAACTCAATCATTCATGTTACCAAGCCACTCTTGATGATCAACATTATAGAAGCACACCCAATGTTAGTTCTGCCTCTCGCCATCCTGAGTGCTTCTTCAAAGTGATGTTCAAGATTGAGCAGTACTGGTTCATCAGGGGAAGGAAGAGAGAGGTAGTTGGTAATCAGCAAGAGGTTTCCTTGCCCATGTTCGACCTGATGCATTGAGCCTCAGAGGCCTGGAGTCATTATTGAAGATTACAAGGGACATATCATGCTGACTATATAGTTCTGGGATGTGGAACAGATCTCCCAGTTTTAGCGCAAGTCTCCAGATGTTAGAGAGGAGAGGTTTTCAGGGTTAATTGGGCAATTGTTGTTTCTGGTGCTAGGTTGATGACAAATAGTGTGTGCAATCTATTTTCATTCAATTAACTGAATGGCTTGTTAGTCCTTTTCAGAGTGCACTTACAAGTTAACCACATTGCGGTTGGTTTGTGGACACATGTTGTCCAGACCAGGTTAGGTCAATAGATTTCCTCACTGAAGCACGTTAGTGAACTAAATTTTTAATGGCAATCCAGTGGTTCCAAAACCACATTTAATGATGTTTGTATTTTATGATACATTTAATTAATTTAGTCTAAGCTCTTCCAGCTGCAATTAAAAGATTTGAACCCAAAACTCAAAAGTCTCTACTAATCTAATAATACTAGCATTATTCTACTATTCCTGTCTGATAGTGATGACACGATACTTTGTTTGTGCATCAAATATTGGTCTCTCTTGCTTCAAATCCACCACTACATATTCAGCACAGCTTAATTATTTTTCCAGCAAACTGTGGTATGAATTTCGCACTATATAATCAGAGAGCACAGCAGTCTAACTTCTGATAATCTATTCCAATATTGGCATTGCAGTGAATTCCAGCCACTTTGGTGAACATTTGTTTCACTCTGCAATTTTCACAATTGCTTATTGTAATTATTATCTATTTAGACGCGTACTGTTTTAACGTTTTGATGTACTTGAATAGAATACAGTTGTAAAGATGAAATAAACACTACCTATTTGCTCCAACCTGCAAATTTTCTACCAGGGCCCATCCAAAATACTCTTAACTGTTCAGTAACTTGAAACCTGAGCTGAAAGATAATCTTCTGGGAAAATTGAGTTATTAAATAAATGTAAGAGAGAGAAACAACTTATTTCAAAACTTGAAATAGCTGTTCTTCTTAAAATTCTAATGATTTTATTAATTGTAATTGTAGGTGGTTCACAAATTAAAAACAGAAAAATAAGGAATTAAAGCCTTTAAAAAACATAAATTTTATTAATGATAACTTAAAAAGATGTAGAACCAATTATAGTAATATAGAAAATAGGAACAGGGAAAGGCTATTCAGCCCATCGAACCTGGCCCACCATTCAATATGACCATGGCTGATTGTCCAACTCAGTACCCTGTTCCCACTTTCTCCCTGTACCTTTTGATCCCTTTAGCTCTAAGAACTATATTTAATACCTTCTTGAAATCATTCAATGTTTTGGCCTCAACCACTTTCTCTGGTAGAGAATTCTACAGCTCACCACTCTCTGGGTGAATAAATTTGTTCTCATCTCAGTCCTAAATGGCCCATCCAGTATCCTAAGACAGTGAACCCTGATAATGGACTTTCCATTTATTAGAAACATTCTTCCTGTGTTTACCCTGACTAATCATGTTAGATTTTTATGGTTTTTTCATGAGATCCCCCTCATTCTTCTAAACTCCAGTGAATATAGTCCTAACCAATCCATATGCATCTTTGATATGCCAATTACACTATCCTTAGAATCTGTCTGGTATACCTTTGTTGCATTCCTCCATAGCCAGAACATCTTTCCTCAGAAAAGGAGACCAAAACTACACACAATAATCTGAGTATGATCTCATGAAAGCCCTGTACAGTTACAGCAATACATCTCTGCTCCTTTACTCCAATCTTCTCATTATGAAAGCCAACATACCAATTGCCTTTTTCATTGCCTGCTGCATCTGTGTGCTCACTTTTAGCAACTGTTGCACTGGGATACCCAGATCTTGTTGTATCGACTTTTTCCCCAATCTCTTGCCATTCAGGTAATAATCTGCCTTCTTGTTTTTGCTACTAAAGAGGATAACCTCACATTTATCCACATTATTCTTTATACTTCATCAGCCATGCAGATCAATCTTCCAATGAAAAGGAAGATATCGACAAGGTTGCTTTCACTGATGAGCTTTCTTTTTATATTCATTGCAATTAATTTTTTGAGGCAATACATCATGCAGATTTTACTGCACATTTTATATACTGTTCAGTATTTAGAAATTAGATACATTTATTGTAAAAATATCTACAACTTAGGTAACTTTAATGAAACAATTCATTTTTCAGCAATATTGAAGAGTATGTAACTTTAAAGTTTAAAATCTACAATGTCTATATAATAATTTTGATACATTTTATATAAAAATAAGTACTTATTTTTTGAGATAGAGAAGCATTTATTTTTGTGCCTCTTAATCATGTTAAGTAATATAATATGCACGCTAATTAATACATACAATGTTATTGATACAATGTTTTCAGCAGAACATGGGAATAAGGTTAACAATTTAAGAATTATATTTAATGCTATCACCCAACTAAGTGTTAATTTATTGAATGCTGGTAATAAATTATAAGTTATAACCCACTAGATATTAGTTTCAGCATATTCTACATTAATTGTAAATCAGGTTGAATTATTTTTATTCACATTTAAGTATTTATACATTTATGGAGTCTTGGAACATTTACATTTTTATTTATTATTAAAGAACACAAAAAATACAAAGAATGAATGTGTATCTCTTTGGTTTCAGATCCCTCTTATTAATTTTCATTCTTATTTTCTCATATGTTTCAGAAACCATTTATATTTTAATTTTAAGGTTTGAAATAATACAATATGCAGTTGTAGTGCATGAAACAAACTAAAGAGCAAAGTACATTTAATGACAAAGATTAATTAAGGATAGTCAGCATGGATTTGATGAAGGGAAGTCATGATTGACAAATTTGATTAAATTGTCTTGGGAGGTGACCAAGTGTTGATGACAGTAATACATTTGGTATAGTCATCATGGACTTTATCAAGGCTTTTGATAAGGTCCCTCATGGCAGGTTGGTCAAAAATGTAAGAGCCTAAGGCTTCTAAGTGGAACATTGGATCTAAAATTGGCTGAGAGGCAAGAAGCAGAGGGTGACAGTACAAGAAAGTTTCTGTGACTGGAGGTCTTTTTCTAGCAAGGTTCCACAGAGCTCAGGGCCTTTGCTGCTTGTAGTGTATGCTAACGCAGCAGCCAGGTCTTTTCATCACTGTTATAATAACTATATGTTCACATTTTTCAAATAATACAAAATTTTGAAGCATTATGCATTGTAAGGATGATAGTGACGGACTTCAACAGGATGCAGATATAGCCTAGTGGACTGTGTGGACTTATAGCAGATGAAACTTGATTTGGAGAAATGTGAATGATACATTCTGGCATACAATAAAAAGTTACAATTTCAAAAATGTGCAGGAACAGATGGACCTTGGAGGTACATGTACATATATCAGGTAAGGTGGGAAAGAGGTTGAAAAGTTGATTAAAAAGATGAATGGAATCATAGGCATAATATACCAAGCATAAAGTATAAAGGCAAGGAAATTACAATCAACATTTGTAAAACACTAGTTCAGCCTCACCTGGAGCATTGTGCCTAATTCTTGGCATCGTACTTTAGAATGATATCCTATAGGGATAAGGCAAAAAATATTTACGAGAACAGTTCCAGGCATGAGGGATAGAATGGAAAAACTGGGATCATTTTTCCTAGAAAGGAGAAGTGATTTGATGGTTTTGTAGAAAATCATGAGAGGTTTATGCTGATTGACAAAACAACAGAAGGGGGTGACATGAAGAAAAACTTTTTGCATGGCGTGTGGTTATGATCTGGATTGCACCATTTGAATTAGATAAGCATTGTAAGGAAACAAATAATTGCAGGGCTTTGGGGACAGGCTGATGAGTGAAACTGCCTAAATTTCTTTTGCAAAGAAATTTACATGGACTTGATAGGTTGAATGACTTTATACAGTGACTGTTCGATATTTGTACAAATATTATAGGGTATATTTCCTTCAGCCTGCACTGATGACAAGACGGTATTTGTTGCCCATTCAGAGAATTTAATAAAAAGGATGAATGTAAGCTCAGCTGTAAGCTCAGCTCATTTTCTGAAGAAGGGTCCAGAGTTGAAACGTCAGCTTTCCTGCTCCTCTGATGCTGCTTGGCCTGCTGTGTTCATCCAGCTCTACACCTTGTTATCTCAGCTGTAACCTGACTTTTTTCAGTCCCACTCAAATTCCACGTGGAATATTTATTATCACGCTGAGCTATGTTGTCTGCTCAAAGCTACTGAGTTTCATATAGCATATCGTGGAAGACTTTATCTGTCTGTTCAGGTGAATGTAAAAGTTTCATTACCTTGTTCAAATGGGATTGGAGGCCCTCCAGTGTACTGATCAACACTACTTAAAACAGGTTAACTGGTAATTAATTTTATTTCCTATTTGTAGCATCTTATATTGGGCATCTGGACCTTATTAGGTTTTAGCTTGGACGTTTTGAATAGTCTGATCAAATCTATAGGGCCTTCTGTATTTTAAAACTAAATCTTTAAAAATATTTACAGATTACAAATTTAAAAATGAATTAAGAACTAAGTAAAATAAAGATGCAGGACCAGGCGACGTGTTGTAACTGCATGATGTGGGAGCTGGTAGACTCCACTGTGATTCACACTGAACACATCTGTAGTGAGTATTGGTTCCTTCAGGAATTCTGGCTCAGAGTTTCTGATTTTTGAACACTGTGACACATCAAGGTGGAGGAGGATTACCTGGACATGGTATTTTAGGAAACAGTCACACCTCTTAGAGTAACTACCTTGAATTTGGTCAGGGGTTGGGGACAGGAGGCTGTGACTATGAGTGAGGCAGGGAGAGGGATCCAGGGGGTAGTACTGAAGGACCTCAGCCCTTGAGCTTGTCCAACAGGTTTGAGATTCTTGCTCCCTGTGTGGATGAGAATGGGGACTGTGGGGAGGATGAGCAAACTGACCATAACACCATGGTGGAGGGAGCCATTCAAGAACACAGAGAAAAGAGAAATGTAGTTGTAATCGGGGAGAGTATTGTCAGGGGAATAGACTCTGTTCTTTGTGGACATAGTCCCAAAGGCTGTGTTGCCTGCATGGTACCTGGTTCAGGATATCTCATTTGGGTTGCAGAGGAACTTGGAGTGGGAGTAGAAAGATCCAGTTATTTTGTGGTCTATGTGGGTACCAACAATATAGGAAGACAGAGGTTCTGCTGATGGAATATGAGCAGCTAGGGGTTAAATTAAAAAGCAGCACCAAAAAGGTAAAAATCTCCAGATACCTGATCCATGAGCTAATTGGCACAGGGTTAACATGATTAAAGTGGTAAACACATGGCTGAAAGATTGCTGTGGGAGTAACAGGTTTGGGTTCATAGGACATTGGCAGTGGAGAAGGAGGGAGCTGTTCGCATGGGACCAGCTCTACTTAAATCAGGCTGGGTCCAGAGCCTTGGTGAATCACATAACTAGGGCTGTTGATAGGACTTTAAACCAAATAGTGGGGTTGGGTTTGGTTGTATGGAAAATTATAAAATCAAGGATGAGAGAGAAAATGGAATGGCTGGATATTGATAGGGATGATTGTTACCAGAAAATATAAGGAAGTTTGATGATACTGTGGCTTGAAGAGGTGTGTTTTGTTCTGGTTTCTTTCACAGAGAGATTGGGGAACAAGCGCCAAGTAGTCTATGAGAAGATAAACAACTTGCCTTGGGTTTTTCTTTTAAGTTAGAACAATAGAAGCAGCCTGAGTGGGTGTGGTCAAGCTCTCACAGATCCAAGATTTTTAGTTAGCTTTCAGCAGTCATTGCTGGGGTCTCATCAGGGTTGGAAGTCAGTGAATCTCACCTGGCTGCTACACTCTCTCTCCGAGTTTTTTTTCTCAGAAGTGTCTTTTGACGTTCTTTCTTCCTGGATCTGAGAACTGCATGTGAGATAATCTGTTTTCTGAATTTGCTTTTTGCCAAGGGTGTGTTTGTGGAAAGTTGCTATATTGGAAGAGTTATTGATTAGTAGTAAAATAATCTACTATTCTGATAAGTTTTCCGATAGACTTAAGTTATTCCAAGTTTCTCTTTCTTTTAATGTATTTTAACCATAGTGTTTGAATAAATTATGTTTTGTTTAACATTGATTAGTTTGACCAATCAAATTGCATCTAGAACACAGCACCTCACATTTACCTTTAAAATAAGAAAATGTTAGGGTCTAGGCTACCTTTTTCATATATTTCAAGGGGGTCTGCTCTGGTCCATACCGTAAGAAACAGGATGTGTGAATGTCATATTGTATCAAGAAACCATAAAAGTGTAGAGAAACATCATAATAGTACAAATTTTGTATCTTAATACGCAAAGCATTTGGAATAAGGTCAACAAATTGATGGTGCAAATCAAGGTAAATCGATGTCACAAGGACTTTAAACTAGTTAAAGCAAAGAAGGCTAAGGAGAGGATATTAAAGCTTCCAGAACATGTAACACGACATAGAACATGGAAAGGGCCAAGAATCTAACTTCAGGCACAACAGATAAGGGAACAACTATGAGAAGGCGGTGGTCAAGGCAAGACTGAGGTTGTTCTACTCAAATGCACACAATTTACGAAACAAGATAAATGAGCTTGTAGCACAGATTGAAAGTGGCAAGTATAATGTTGTGGGCATCACAGAGAAGTGGCTACAAGAGGATCACGGCTGGGAACTAAATATCCAAGAATAGGCATCCTTTCGAAAAGATAAGCAGATGGTCAGAGGGTGACCATCTGTAGTCATCTGACCAACTCTGTATTTGTCTTGTAGTAAGAAATGAAATTAAATTGATAGCAAGGAGTAATATAGAGTCAGAGGTGTAGAATCTGTGTGCGATAGTTGGAACTGCTGATGCTGGAGAATCTGAGATAACAATGTGTAGAGCTGGATGAACACAGCATTCCAAGCAGCATCAGAGGAGCATGAAAGCTGACGTTTCGGGTCTGGACCCTTCTTCAGAAAAGGGGAGGACAAGGGTACTCAGGGACAGCATGAAAGCAATAGAAAAAGCATATAATGTGGTGAAGATTAGTGGGAAACCACAGGACTAGGAAGCTTTTAAAATGAGCAGAGGACAACTTAAAAAAGTCGTAAGGGAGAAGATGAAATATGAGGACAAGCTACCTAGTAGTATAAAAAGTTTCAAGTTTTTTTATATACATAACAAGTAAGAGAGAGGCAAAAGTGGATATTGGACCATTGGAAAATGAGGCTGGAGAATGGGGAACAAAAAAACTGAATAGATACTTCCCATCGGACTTCATGCTGGCACCAGTAGTATACCAATACTTCAAGAGAGTCAAGGGACAGAGGTGAGTGCAGTGGCCATCACTAAGGAGAAGTTGTTGGGGAAGCTGAAAGGTCTGAAGGTGGATAAGTCACCCAGGCCACATGGACTACACCCCAGAGTCTGAGGAAATAGCTGAAAGATTGTGGAGGCATTGTTGGTAATCTTTCAGGAATCATTGGAGTCAGGAGGGTCCCAGAGGACTGGAAATTAGTTAACGTAACATCCCTATTTAAGAAGGGCGGGAGGCAGGAGACAGGAAAATTATAGGCTGATTAACCTGACCTTGGTCATTGGTAAGATTTTAGAGATTATTAAGGATGATTATTAAGGATGAGATTGTGGACTACTTGGAAGTATGTGGTAAAATAGGACTGTGTCAGCACAACTTCATCAATGGGAGGAAACCTAACAAATCTGCCAGAATTCTTTGAGGGGGTAACTAGCAAGTTAGACAAAGAAGAGCCAATGGACTTGATCTATTTGGATTTCCAGAGGGCCTTTGACAAGGTGTCACACAGGAGGCTGGTAAATAAGAGCCTATGGTGTAGGGGCAAGGTACTGGTATGGATACAGTATTGGCAGAAAGAAGGGTGTGGGGATAAAGGATGATAGCCAGTGACTAGTGGAGTTCCGCAGGTGTCAGTTTTGGGACAACTATTTACATCATATATTAATAATCTGGACAAAGGAACTAAGGGCATTGTTGCAAAATTTGCTGATGACATAAAGATAGGTGGAAGGACAGGTAGTGTTGAGGAGTCAGGGAGGCTGCAGAAGGACTGGGACAGGCTAGCAGAGCAGGCAAAGAAGTGGCAGAAGAATACAATGTGGAAAAGTGTGAGATTATGCACTTTGGTAGGAAGAATAATGGCATAGACTATTTTCTAAATGGGGAAAGGCTTTGGAAGTCTAAGCACAAAGAGACAATGAGTACTAGTTCAGAATTCTCTTAAGGTTAATATGTAGGTTCAGTTGGCAGTTAGGAAGACAACTGCAATGTTGATATTCATTTTGACAGAATTAAAATATAAGAGCAGTGATGTGCTGCTGAGGCTGTATTGCATTTGGAATATTATGAGCAATTTTGGGCCCCGTACTTAAGGAAGGGTGTGCTAGCCTTGGAAGAGGTACATGAGAGGTTTACTAGAATGATCCCAGGGATGAAGGGCTTGTCATATGAGGAGCAGCTGAGGACTCTGAGCCTATACTCAACGGAGTTTAAAGGATGAGGGGAGATTTCATTGAAACTTGCAGAATACTGAGAGGTCTGGATAGAGAGAATATGGAGAAGATGTTTCCACTAGTAGGAGGGACTAAGACTTGACAGGCTCAGAGTGACCTTTAGAACTGAAATGAGGAGGAATTTTTTCAGCCAGAAAAATCTGTGGAACTCATTGCTGCAGAGGGCTGTGGAGGCCAAGTCATTGAGTATATCTAAGCCAGAGATATATAGGTTTTTGATTAGTAAGGGGATCAAGGGTTATGCAGGGGAGAATGATGGAGAATAGGGCTGAGAAACATATCAGCCACGATCAAATGGTGGAACAGACTTGATGAGTTGAATGGCCCAATTTTGCTCTATATCTTATGGTCTTATGGATCTGGCATGGGAGGTGATCTAAAGCTTGGTAATGAGCTTGAGCCTATTCTTATAGCCTGGATTGAAGAGAAGGAATAAACTACATCTTGTTTACTCGAGAAGAGTCTTCTCATTAGACCAGAAGGTGGTTCCCCACTTACACACCTGACCACCAAAGTCCCTAAATATCCCACACACTTAGAATGTAGCACATATAACTTGGTTATCAGCAATGGTATCTTTGTGTTCTTTAGTTTGCCTAATTTACATGTTCAATTGCAATTTGTGTATTATGTTGTCTTTGGTTATTTCCTACAGACCTTGCTTTAGATCCTCCAATCGGCCTGCTGGTTTCCTGCCCTAAACATTGGTGGTGAAATAAACATACTGTTGCTGTCAGCATTCGTAGTACTGGTTACTGAACACTGGGGATCTTGCTGACATTCCCAATAGTTACAGTGAAAAGACCACCCTCGTTCAAATTAGCAAAAATTTTACACAAGCTTATGGAAGCAAGTAAGGTTTTAGTATCCTGAGAGCCTCACTGAATGATAAAAAAATTGCGTAATATACTTATAGTCCTCAAATTCCTATTTCCCCAAAACATTGACTCACAACTTTATGACTCATTGACCATGTGGTATCATGTGGTGTTTGTTAATGTTCCCAGAAACATTATCTTCAAATATCAAGTGAACATAACCTAATGTTACCTACCCTTATTGTCCCTTACAGGAGAGACAAAGAAATCAAGAACCTGGTCATTTTAAGCAAATAAATAATTCTGGTCTAACACAGGAAGTGTTTTCAGGAGGCTTCATTCTGGCCATGAAAAGTGAGAAATCCTCCATTACAGTCACAAGAGGCATAAATTCTTTTATTATCAACTCAAACTCATTCAATTGCCAGTCAAGGAATAGTTAGTAGAAGATTTTTCAGGGATCCATAAGCTCCAGGAGATCCAGTGGCACAGTGGTACTGCCCCATACTGACTAATGCTCTGGGGACATGGGTTCAAATCCCATCATTGCAGATAGTGAAATTTGAATTCAGTAAAATGTGGAAGTAATGCCTAGCCTGATAGTGACCATTGGCAATTGAGGTAATAACCTTTCTGGTTCACCAATGTCCTTTTTGGAAGGAAGTCTGCTTTCCTTACCTGTTAGGCCTACATAGCAATGTGGTTGACTCTTTACTGTCCTTTGTACATTAGGGATGAGCAATGAATGATGGCCGAGCATTCTGATGCCCATGTCCCACGAACAAATAAAAAAAAGCTGTTTCTATACTGATTTTGCAGAAATGTTTTCTATTGCTATGAAGTTGGAATGGAGTTCAGATTCCAATTGCTAACATATTTTGAGAAGAAATGCAAGCAAATACACAGCTAATAAACTGAACAGTATACACCACTCAGGGTAAAAGGAGCATCTGAATAGAGTCAGATTGCAACACAATGCAGTGAACTGGATATAACAAACCCAAGTCACACATAAAAATGATTCAGAAGGGACATGTACAACTAGGACTTTACCTGCCAAAGAAGGACCCTAAACAGTTATAATAGACATCATTAAGCAAGACCAAAATTCAGGTAAAATAATTGAGGGAGTGAGCAATTTGGTTTCACCAAGAATTCACTGAAGGTGCATCAAATTAAACAACAAGTTGAAATTTTATTTTAAAAAATGACCTACTTCAGCAAAGAACTACTGGCAAATTGAGAACAAAACCAAAACACGGACACAAATTGAAGATGTGATCCATACACCTTCATGGAGGGTACCTTTATGAAGAAACAAGTAAGTCTAAAGATTTAAGGTACTAAAAAGAAAAAAGATGCCTGTTCTAGCAGGTATTATATCTTTATATCTTCTATGAAAGAAATACAAAGGTGAAAAGTTCTCTAGTTCAGGAGAGAACCTCAGACCATCAGGAAGACAGTCCAATTTATCTATCTTCTATCACAAACTACTATTTTTCATTGTCCAAAGAAAACATTGTTCAAAGAGAATAGTGAAATCTTCAAATTATCTGAATTTGTAAATGCCAAGATTGGTGGGAGATGGGAATTTTTTTACATTTATCAAAAAAAAACAGAGTAGGTGTTATGTGGAAGTGTCTAAAAGGGTTAAAATGTGATTGAGTGAAATTAGCACATTATTGTGATGATATCATGAGTACTTGGGGGAAGAGTAAAGTAGGATCTCAAAGGGGACAGACCTAATGCTGGGTTCTCTCAACAATCTTTGTAGTAATATAGAGCCTATTCCTGTAAACTGTAAATAGTTAGCAAGAAGCAATAAACTATGACATGTTTACTCTACAAAACTCTAGAAAGTGGCCACCCTCACACATATTAGCATACATAAGACCCTAAATAACCTGCACACTTAGAATATACATATAACGGTATGCTTTCATTTTCACAGAGCCTTAGTGAGACTTTGGTATCGTTCTGCTTCTTCAATGGTTCTCCTCGAGTACCCCAGAGTCTCAAAGTTATCCACTGACCAAATTTTTCTTCTTTACCTTCTGCTTAGCACCTAATTTCTTCTTCTGATCTTGCTAGGATAAGGCTATTGGGTCTTTGTTTCCAATTATTGTTCTTGACTATATTGTTCTCTCTAACTTTCTTTAGAATTCTTTTGATTTCTGAACTCCCCGCTTGATCTAATTCACACATTTGTCTCTTTGGCCATCCATCCCATTCAGATTCAGATTCAGAATAAGTTGAATGGTACATGGATATGCTAATCTTAAGTGAACAAAATGCACAATGCAACCTTCAATAAATTATATCACTATTTGGTATTTAATGAGAGGCACTGTGTATTTCATTGATTTGTTTGCAAGAATAAAAACAATACATTAAAACATTAGACAAACAAGAGGCTGGAAGAACACAGCAAGCCAGGAAGTATCTGGAGAAAAGGAGAAGTCAATGTTTCAGGTACTACCCTTCTTCGGGACTTAGAAGTCTCAAAGAAGGGTAATACCCAGAACATTGACTTCTCCTTTTCTCCAGATGCCGCCTGGTTTGCTGTGTTCTTCCAGCCTCCTGTTTGTCTACCTTGGATTCCAGCATCTGCAGTTTTTTTGTCTCTAACATTAAAACATTAGTTGAACATTCAAATGCACCAACAATACTATAACATATTCTAACTTTTGTAGTAATTGCTCATTCAAACTCAGTCATATACAATAAGGTGAAATATTTGCTCACGACTTGAAAATAATTCATAACATAAATTTTTGCTAACATCTTCCAAACCCACAACATCTGACTGAGAGGGTCAAGGACAGCAGACGCACACAGACATCACTAATTGTAAGTTCTCCTCAATGTTGTACAGCTTTGACTTGGAATTATATTTCTGGTCCTTCACTATCACTTGGTCAAAATCCTGGAACTCCCTAACTAACAGCATGATGAAGCTCCCAACACCAGCTTACCACTGCTTTCTCAAGGGAAATTCATGATGAACAATAATTGCTGGACTAGCCAGCAACACCCATATCTCATGAATGCTAAAATAAAATCACTAATTTGGTGAACATTTTTTCTCATATGTAGGATATCATCTGACATCAAGTAAGGTTGCATTTGACTCATCATTCTCACCTGCTAAGGAATATTGTTTACAGTGCTCTGAAGCATAGTGCAATGATTTATAGAGTCAGAGAATCGTTGGTTCATACAGCAAGGAAACAGACCTTTTGGTCCGACTCGTCTGCGCCGACAAGACATCCCAATTTGACACAGTCCCATTTGTCGGCA